TTCTCAAAAAGTTTCCGAAGGCCAGGGCTGCGCCTGCCTAGCCCTCCAACTTTGTATTAATGTGATGTCTGATTATAATTACTGTCCTACAAATTTCTTTAATGTCAAATGTCGTCTAAAACACATAATTTCTCAAAAATTTTCTGATTGGCTGCGCCCCCCCCCCTCCCTAGCCAACCAACTTTATATTATTGTGATGTCTCAGGATTATTACTGCCCTACTAATTTCTTTAATGCCTAATGTCGTCTGAATCACCCTATTTCTCAAAAATTTTCCGGGGGGTGCGCCCCCCTAGCCTCCCAACTTTGTATTATTAGATTATTGTGATGTCTGATTATTACTGTCCTACAAATTTCTTTAATGCCAAATGTCGTCTAAAACACATTATTTCTCAAAAATTTTCTGGGGGTTGCGCCCCCCCGGCCCCCCAACTTTATATTATTGTGATGTCTGATTATTACTATCCCCAAATTTCTTTAATGCCAAATGCCGTTTTAATCACCCTATTTCTCAAAAATTTTCCTGGGGGTTCGCTCCCCTAGCCCACCAACTTTATATTATTCTGATGTATGATTATTGCTCTCCTACAAATTTCTTTAATGCCAAATGTCGTCTGAATCACCCTATTTCTCAAAAATTTTCCGGGGGTTGCGCCCCCCCCCCCCCCCAGCCCACCAACCTTGTATTATTGTAATGTCTGATTATTGCTGTCCTACAAATGTCGTCTGGAACACCCTATTTCTCAAAAATTTTCCGAAGGCCAGGGCTGCGCCCCCCTAGCCCCCCAACTTTGTATTATTGTGATGTCTGATTATTACTGTCCTAAAAATTTCTTTAATGCCAAATGTCGTCTAAAACACATAATTTCTCAAAAATTTTCTGGGGGGCTGCGCCTTCCCCCCTCCCTAGCCAACCAAAGGAGCTTCGCCCCGGCTACGTGTCGTGTCGGGCTACGTGCCGAGAATCGAAAAAACTTAATCTTTAAATGAATAACGGAACCTTCATTATGAAGTTACGAGATGATAATATAATTGGGAGGCAAAGTGGGTATCGGGCTTGGGGCTCATAATGCGCAAAATTTGGCCGCTGTCGAGTGGGTCTGCCTAAAATTCACAGATCTAGCTATGGGTCTGAGACATTTGTAAAAAAAAAACCTTTAAAGTTTAAACTTGTGTGGTTCACCAGACTTCATATCAGGGGTACTTTTTAGAAGGAACCCACATTTTCCAGGTAAACAACAATCAATCGTGTTAGGGTGTTTGAAATGAAAAGAAAAAGATAGTGGTCTGTAAAACAGATCTCTAACTTTGAACTTATTTACCTTTGATATTTTGTTATCAATTCCGACTGTCTTTCCAACCCGTCTCACACTCTCTTCCTTAGACGTAAGATCACAACCGTTTTCTTTTATAATATCAGCCTCTATGACATCATTGTCATTCCATAATTCAAGGAATTCTGGTGATAATCGGCTCCATCCTCTCTTGCGACGAATCTGCTCTATTTTATGTACCATATTAGGTGTCAGCAATACTTTAAAATTGGAATTATCTTTGAATGCCAAAAATCCCTCGATGAGCATGTACAAGTTTCTAACAAGAGGAGACTCTTCTGTCACATCTAGAAATTCACGTTTATTAAGTCCTCGAAATGACTTAAATGAACAAAAGATATTCGGAATTTATGTTGAACTTGAGGGAACTACAGAGACAGAGTATACTATATTTGATAGTCCTGATGAACAGCTTGAAGGCTGGCTTTTCTGTCTTTTCTTGAACTCTTTTACAGACTTCCTGTACAATGTGTTAACAAATAGTGCATCTGTATCAGATGATTTCGTTGCACTATCTAAAACATCAAACAGCTCTTCAAAAAGAGCTTCGTCATCAGCAATACATTTACAAAGATCAACATTTTCTAACAGGTAACGAGAGGCTACATTGAATACTTCTCCCTCATTCTCCAGATTCTTTTTCATTATCTTCAGCAAGAACATTGGATTATCATATTTTGTTATCTGTATCATGAGATCCAGTTGACTAGTTTCCAGTTCAGAGTAGTTCCTCATGTAGGGTTCAACAAATATCTCAGCTCTGTTCTCCAGACCACAAATCTTCTGTACCACCAGGTCCATAAACTTGTCACATTTCATCACTCTCATACAAAACCTGGCCTCCTCAAACAAGAAAAATAAGGTCTGGTAGTCAGTGTGAACACTAACATCACCCACCAGACCAGTGAAGTAGTCCCAACATCTCCCTGCTAACCACTCCACTTTGAAGACGTGACAGAGCTTGTTGACATCTCTGAACAAGTGCCTCACTAGTTGGATCTCCCCGCTGTACAGGGCCCCCAGGAAACTCTTCACCGCCTCCCCCACAAAGTCCTCCATCTCTAGAACAGACTGTTGTAGTTCCAGGAACAGGTGAACAAACACTGAACTGTGGTAGGATAGGATCAGAGAGTTTGCTTTCATGTCCTCTCCTCCTTGTAACTTTAGGACCACGTTACCATGAAACTGAGAGTGTAGGTTCTCATTACTAAAATCTGCGGGTACCACCACTTTAGGAGCCATGGTGTTCTAGTGGATTAACATTGTTAGCATCTTTCAAATTAAGTGTTTAAAATTAAGAGAAGAAAAAAAAATTATTCTTGACTGAGCTGGGTCGGCTATAAAAGGAATTGATAAACGGTAAGGAAAATTATGAAATTATGAGAGTTATCATTACTCCTTTTGTTAATTGGTTCATCACTAAACACGAAGTAACGTACATGTATAAAACGAAGGTAATATTTATAAATATTACCTTCGTGATATAAATATCAAAAAGTCCAATAACGGGTACACAATTTCTTTTTTAACAATTAGCAAATAAATAAAATTTCGTGAGAAATATTTTATACACGTGATGAGGAAATCAACACTGATTTAATAGCACGATTATTAGAAAGTAACATTAATGGAATGTAATAACTGAATTTATGAACTTATATGTTCCTCAAACTCAATGATTTATGCAGGCTGTAAAAAGAGTGCATGAATTAACACATGTCTATTCACGATAGTAGATATAACGTAAATCGTAGGTTTGTCAAAGAATTTTGGAATTAATAACCACTCCACGATATAATATTTATATGAAACACGTTGAGTATTTTAATCTCGTAAACTTTCTGTTTCATATTGGATCATAACGTTATGAACGCACACAACTTCAAAGGTGTATCTGAGTATATTTTAAAACTGCCGATATCCCAAACTGACAAAGATCCCTCACCTGTCACATTATTTACACCGTAGTCATTCCAAGTGAACATTGCTAAGCTGTATCTCATCCCAGAGTTGAATTCAATCAAAGGCACCAAATGAATTTTGTCCGCTTTTACAAACTCAGGATGAATATGAAGTCCCTCAGGATAATCTTCTTGATCAAAACAAAGGTTTACTTTAAACTTGTGTGGTTCACCAGACTTCATATCAGGGGTACATTTTAGAAGGAACCCACATTTTCCAGGTAAACAACAATCAATCGTGTTAGGGTGTTTGAAATAGAAAGCAAAAGAGTGTGGTTTGTAAAACAGATCGTTAAGTCTACACTTATTTATCTTTGATATTTTATTATCCAGCCCGAATGTTTTTCCAACCCTTGGCCTTCTAACACTCTCTTCCTTAGACGTAAGATCAAAACCGTTCTCTTTTATAGTATCAGCCTCTTTGACATCAGCGTCATGCCACAATTCAAGGAACTCAGGTGATATTCTGCTCCATCCTCTCTTGCGACGAATCTGGTACATTTCATGTACCATATCGGGAGTTATCAACTGATAATGACCATTATAACATTTGAAAGCTACAATTACTTCAATCAGCATGTACAAGTTTGATATAAGAGGAGATTCTTTAACAGCATCAAGAAATTCCTGGGTATTCAGTCCTTCAAACATCTCATACGAACAAAAAATATGAGCAATTTCTGTTGAACTTGAGGGTACTACAGATAAAGAGGAAGACACAGTTGATGAGTTTGGAGAACTTACAGGTGGTTTTTTCTTGAACTCTCTTACAGATTTTCTGTACAATGTGTTAACAAATAGTGCACATGAATCAGATGATTTAGTTGCACTAGTATCTAAAACATCAAACAGCTTCTCAAAAAAAGCTTCATCATCAGCAATGCATTTACAAAGATCAATATTTTCTAGCAGGTAACGAGAAGCTGCATTGAATACTCCTCCCTCATTCTCCAGATTCTTCTTCATTATCTTCAGCAAGAGCTTAGGATTATGATTGGTGATCTGTATTATAAGATCCAGTTGACTAGTTTCCAGTTCAGAGTAGTTCTTCATGTAGGGTTCAACAAATATCTCAGCTCTGTTCTCCAGACCACAAATCTTCTGTACCACCAGGTCCACAAACTTGTCACATTTCATCACTCTCATACAAAACCTGGCCTCCTCAAACAAGAACAACAAAGTCTGGTAGTCAGTGTGAACACTAACATCACCCACCAGACCAGTGAAGTAGTCCCAACATCTCCCTGACAACCACTCCACTTTGAAGACGTGACAGAGCTTGTTGACATCTCTGAACAAGTGCCTCACTAGTTGGATCTCCCCGCTGTACAGGGCCCCCAGGAAACTCTTCACCGCCTCCCCCACAAAGTCCTCCATCTCTAGAACAGACTGTTGTAGTTCCAGGAACAGGTGAACAAACACTGAACTGTGGTAAGACAGGATCAGAGAGTTTGCTTTCATTTCCTCTCCTCCTTGTAACTTTAGGACCACGTTACCGTGAAACTGAGAGTGTAGGTTCTCTATACCAAAATCTGCTGGTACCACCACTTTAGGAGCCATGGTGTTCTAGTAGATTAACATTGTTAGTAACCTTAACATTTTTGAGCTATTTTTTAGAAACATTCTGTAATTATTTGTACATCACTTTTAAAAGTAAGATAAAATTATGGGGTTTCAATGGGGTTTCAATACTTGAATGCAATGACAAAGGTCAGCGCTTATGAGTAATTGTATTGCACAAGCGATTTTCAATCGCGCGTACTGGAAAATGAGCTAGGGTGAATGCACATAAACTGTAGACTCAACAGACATAATTAGGTTACTACATTTTCAAGAGATCATAACAAAAATTATCAAAAATTACAAATAGAAATGAAACACAATACAAATTATGCGATAACGCAATCTCTGTTATTAGTTGGTGCAATTACGCAATCTCCAGAACTAGCTGGCGGGTCTGATATTGTGATGAAAGCGATCAACTTCAAACTAGTTACACACTGTATGTTGGCGTTACCTAATTGAAAATGTAGGGAATTAAAAAAAGAACCATACAGTTCGTAAAAAGCCGGCTGAAAAATGTCGCGTATACCAAACTCATTCCACGTAAAACTGGCTAAGCAATATGAGTATTCCGACTCGCTAACTGTTTTAAGCATGGGAACCAAATGAAGTCTCTCCGCTTTCACAAACTCTGGATGAATATGAAGTCCCTCGGGATATTCTCTTTGGTCATAACAAATGTTTACTTTAAACTTGTGTGGTTTATTAAACTTCAAAATAGGCGTGCTTTTCAGTAGGAACCCACACTTTCCAGGTAGATTACAATCAGTAGTGTCAGGATGTTTGAAATGATAAGCAAAGGATTGAGGGTAAGAAAACAGGTCTGAAATTGTACAGACACTATTATTTGATAACTTATAGTCTGTTCCAACTATCTTCCCAACTCTCCTGACACTCTCCTCTTGAGAAATAAGATCTTGGCTGTTTTCCTTAATATTATCAGCCACTTTGACATCAAAATCAAGCCACGATGCCAGGAATTCAGGTGATATTCTGCTCCATCTCTCTTGCGACGAATCTCCTCTATTTTATGTACCATATCGGGAGTCATTAACTGAGCATGACCATTACAATATGTAAAAGCTACAATTGCTTCAATCAGCATGTACAGGTTTAATATAAGAGGAGATGTTTTTACTGCCTCAAGAAATTCCTTGTCACTAAACTCACGAAAATACTCAAATGAACAAAAGATATGAGCAATTTCTGATGATTTTGAGGGACTTAATTGGATAGCGGGAACTGAAGTTGATGGGTCAGGGAAACTTACAGGTGGTCTTTTCTTGAGCTCTCTCACAGACTTTCTGTACAATGTGTTAACAAATAGTGCATCTGAATCAGATGATTTAGTTGCACTATCTAAAACATCAAACAGCTCCTCAAAGAAAGCTTCATCATCAGCAATGCATTTACAAAGATCAATATTTTCTAGCAGGTAACGAGAAGATTTATTGAATATTCCTCCCTCATCCTCCAGACTATTTTTCATTATTTTCAGTAAGAACATTGGATTATTATTGGTGATCTGTATCATTGTGTCCATTTGACTAGTTTCCAGTTCAGTGTAGTTCTTCATGTAGGGTTCAACAAATATCTCAGCTCTGTTCTCCAGACCACAAATCTTCTGTACCACCAGGTCCACAAACTTGTCACATTTCATCACTCTCATACAAAACCTGGCCTCCTCAAACAAGAACAACAAAGTTTGGTAGTCAGTGTGAACACTAACATCACCCACCAGACCAGTGAAGTAGTCCCAACATCTCCCTGCTAACCACTCTACTTTGAAGACGTGACAGAGCTTGTTGACATCTCTGAACAAGTGCCTCACTAGTTGGATCTCCCCGCTGTACAGGGCCCCCAGGAAACTCTTCACCGCCTCCCCCACAAAGTCCTCCATCTCCAGAACAGACTGTTGTAGTTCCAGGAACAGGTGAACAAACACTAAACTGTGGTAAGATAGGATCAGAGAGTTTGCTTTCATGTCCTCTCCTCCTTGTAACTTTAGGACCACGTTACCGTGAAACTGAGAGTGTAGGTTCTCTATACCAAAATCTGCTGGTACCACCACTTTAGGAGCCATTCTATAACTCTATTAGATTAATATTGTTAGTACCGTAAACAACACATTTTTGAACTATTTTATAGAGAAAACTTTTAAGCACAAACTTTAGGAGCCATTGTGCTGTTTAATATTTAAAGACAGTTATTGATGAAAACAAAGAAGATTTGACAGAAAAACATTATTGAAATTATTCAATTTTATTTAAACGTATTTGATTCCCCGATATAAATGATTCACAGGCTCACAGGGTACGTTGTTTCAAAAGTAGATTGGTATAAAGTGGTAAAGTAATTCAACATAAATCGTAACTTCTCCTACGAATTTAGGGATCTATAGCCACTCCAAACCCGTGGAATATCTAAAACTCGTAAAATTTGCTGAAACGAATCACAAAGTTATGAACGCAGACAGCTTAAAATAGTTATCAGGGAATATGTATGCATCACCTACTACCCATTTTAATGATGATCCCTCATCATCATTTATCACCTCACTTATACCAAACTCATTCCAGGTGAAAGTGGCTAAGCAGTATCTCATTCCAGAGTCGATTCAAACAAAGGCACCAAATGAATTTTGTCCGCTTTCACAAACTCAGGATGAATATGAAGTCCCTCAGGATATACTTCTTGATCTAAACAAAGGCTTACTTTAAACTTGTGTGGTTCACCAGACTTCATATCAGGGGTACATTTTAGAAGGAACCCACATTTTCCAGGTAAACAACAATCAATCGTGTTAGGGTGTTTGAAATGAAAAGCAAAAGATAGTGGTCTGTAAAACAGATCTCTAACTTTGCACTTATTTACCTTTGATATTTTATTATCCATCCCGACTGTCTTTCCAACCCTTCGAACACTCTCTTCCTTAGACGTAAGATCGCAACCGTTTTCTTTTATAATATTAGCCTCTTCGACATCAATGTCATGCCAAAATTCAAGGAATTCAGGTGATATTCTGCTCCATCCTCTCTTGCGACCGAATCTGCTCTATTTTATGTACCATATTAGGTGTCAGCAATACTTCAAAATTGGAATTATATTGGAATGCAAAAAATCCCTCGATGAGCATGTACAAGTTTCTAACAAGAGGAGACTCTCCAGTCACATCTAGAAATTCACGTTCATTAAGTCCTCGAAATGATCGAATGAACAAAAGATATTCGGAATTTCTGCTGCACTTGAGGAACTACAGTGACAGAGTATGCTACATTTGATAGTCCTGATGAACAACTTGAAGGCTGTCTTTTCTTGAGTTCTCTTACAGATTTCCTGTACAATGTGTTAACAAATAGTGCATCAGAATCAGATGATTTAGTTGCACTATCTAAAACATCAAACAGATCCTCAAAAAGAGCTTCATCATCAGCAATGCATTTACAAAGATCAATATTTTCCAGCAGATAACGAGAAGCTTCATTGAATACTCCTCCTTCATTCTCCAGATTCTTCTTCATTATTTTCAGCAAGAACATTGGATTACTTAATGTAATCTGCAACATTAAATCTAGTTGGCTAGTTTCTAGTTCAGTGTAGTTCTTCATGTAGGGTTCAACAAATATCTCAGCTCTGTTCTCCAGACCACAAATCTTCTGTACCACCAGGTCCACAAACTTGTCACATTTCATCACTCTCATACAAAACCTGGCCTCCTCAAACAAGAACAACAAAGTCTGGTAGTCAGTGTGAACACTAACATCACCCACCAGACCAGTGAAGTAGTCCCAACATCTCCCTGACAACCACTCCACTTTGAAGACGTGACAGAGCTTGTTGACATCTCTGAACAAGTGCCTCACTAGTTGGATCTCCCCGCTGTACAGGGCCCCCAGGAAACTCTTCACCGCCTCCCCCACAAAGTCCTCCATCTCCAGAACAGACTGTTGTAGTTCCAGGAACAGGTGAACAAACACTGAACTGTGGTAAGACAGGATCAGAGAGTTTGCTTTCATGTCCTCTCCTCCTTGTAACTTTAGGACCACGTTACCGTGAAACTGAGAGTGTAGGTTCTCTATACCAAAATCTGCTGGTACCACCACTTTAGGAGCCATTTCTGTTCTAGTGGATTAACATTGTTAGCCTTTCATACAATTTTATGAAACTATTTTCAATGAACATTAGAGTCAATATTCTGTATAGTATTAAGAGCCAAAGTATACCATCACTTGAAGATTTAAAACGTTAAGTTGGCTGAGTTATGCCAAACGAATAAAATCAAATTAATTTATAATTTGAGGTCGTAAGGTACAGAAATGTATCTTCACTAAAAAGATAAATTATTAGTGTGATTTGAAGAGATATTAAAACTTGAACCACTTAGAAACGTAGAGCGTTATAATAAAACAATACAGAATGTATACAGCATGGTGGAATCTTCAAATAGAGACAACAGTGAATGAATGTCAATGTTCTTCGCTTGATTGCATGGGTGGCTCATTAATAAGTCATAATAACCTCTTTAACCTCATTTTACCTTAGCTCATTATGAGAGGAAGTTCATATTCATAATTACAGTCAATGTGTACTTATATTCTTGATCACCTTTGAGGCTCATCTTTTGTCTCCTGTTTGATGTTTGATTGTTCTGTGACAACTGGCCCAGTGCGCAGCATAAAATGTTGATACTTCTTAGTTAAAATGTCCATCAGCTTATCAATACTGAAAATAATGTATGTGATCAGTAATTTTAGAAACAGTTCAAGGCATATTTGAATAATCAGAAATGAAAGAACATCACGATCAACTGCATCAACGAGATAAAGAGAGAAAATAAATACCTAAAAATCACAATCTACATAACCAATTACTACCTTTCCTTTTGGAACTGTGAACAAGGTTCACTTCGTAGCTTCTCCTCCTTTGATGGTTCAGGAGGATCAAATGACCAGTAATGCCCTTTATTAGGATCATACCTGAAATTTATTCGAGGTTCTCAAAACGTTGACATAAAGTTTCGTATACATTGATGAAATCAAAGGCTGCATCTCACTGTCAAATGTTCACTTCTATATTACAATAAATTGCAAAAAAATTGACTCTATGTGTGGAGGTAACTCAATAGAATAGGCAGGATGAGCACTTGTAGGTAGGATTGCACATTCATTACTACAAAGGGGGGGGGGGGGGGGGGGGTGTCACGTCCGTCTATGTCCGCCTATGTCCTGTCCTTTTTGGATTCTATGAGACAACGGACGTGTTTTTTGGGACATTGGCGGACACGGACGGACATTGGCGGACTCGGACGGACATTGGAATCCTTTTTGGATTCTATGAGACAACGGACGTGTTTTTTGGGACATTGGCGGACACGGACGGACATTGGCGGACTCGGACGGAAATTGGCGGACTCGTACTCTGTTTTATAGATCTGGTACATTGTTGGCTCGGAATATTTGTTCAATATAACACATACGGGGTGATGAAGTGATCACTGTGGATTAGTCTACCCAGCGGTCTCCAGTAATCTGTCTCTATCGGGTCCTTCAACGTTAAGCTGTTAAGCTGATGTTGTCGTTCTATTGTTTATATTATCTCTATAATAGACGAAATAACGTACGCTCATTGGTCAGATATTTAATTGATAAACCAATGGACGCGGCGATCTGAACAGCGAGTCTCTTAACTTTAGGGGGGGAGGGGGGGTGTCACGTCCGTCTATGTCCGCCTATGTCCTGTCCTTTTTGGATTCTATTCTTTTTCGCAACTTCTATGTATTATAATTTTGTACAAAACAAAAGACTTATTTATCACACTAAAGCTATTAATAGCTTTAACTTATATCAAATTATATAGGGATCCAGGAAAAGGCCCCAGGAGGAGGAGGAGGAGGAGGACTGGGGAGGAGGAGGACTGTTGAGGACTGATGAGGAGGACTGAGGACGAGGAAGAGGAGTAGGAGGAGGACTGAGGAGGGGAGGAGGAAGAGGACTGGGGAGGATCAGGAAGACCCAGGAGGAGGACCCAGGAGGAGGACCCAGGAGGAGGACCTAGGAGGAGGAGGAGAACTGAGGAGGATGACTGAGGAGGAGAAGGACTCAGGAGGAGGACTCAGGAGGACTGAGAAGGAGGAGGACTGAGGAGGATGGCTGAGGAGGATGGCTGAGGAGGATGACTGATAGGGAGGAGGAGGAGGAAGAGGAGGAAGAGGACTGAGGAGGAGGAGGGGAAGGACCCAGGAGGAGAAGGAGGACCCAGGAGGAGAAGGAGGACCCAGGAGGAGGACCCAGGAAAAGGCCCCAGGAGGAGGAGGAGGACCTAGGAGGAGGAGGAGAACTGAGGAGGATGACTGAGGAGGAGAAGGACTCAGGAGGAGGACTCAGGAGGACTGAGAAGGAGGAGGACTGAGGAGGATGGCTGAGGAGGATGGCTGAGGAGGATGACTGATAGGGAGGAGGAGGAGGAAGAGGAGGAAGAGGACTGAGGAGGAGGAGGGGAAGGACCCAGGAGGAGAAGGAGGACCCAGGAGGAGAAGGAGGACCCAGGAGGAGGACCCAGGAAAAGGCCCCAGGAGGAGGAGGAGGACTGGGGAGGAGGAGGACTGAGGAGGACTGAGGAGGAGGACTGACGATGACTGAGAAGGAGGAGTACTGAGGAGTACTGAGGAGGATGGCTGAGGAGGATGGCTGAGGAGGATGACTGAGGAGGATGACTGAGAGGGAGGAGGAGAAGAACTCAGGAGGAGGACTCAGGAGGAAGAGGAGGAGGAGGGGAGGAGGAAGAGGACTGGGGAGGATCAGGAAGACCCAGGAGGAGGACCCAGTAGGAGGAGGAGGAGGAGGACCCAGGAGGAGGAGGAGGACTGAGGAGGACTGAGGAGGAGGACTGACGATGACTGAGAAGGAGGAGTACTGAGGAGTACTGAGGAGGATGGCTGAGGAGGATGGCTGAGGAGGATGACTGAGGAGGATGACTGAGAGGGAGGAGGAGAAGAACTCAGGAGGAGGACTCAGGAGGAAGAGGAGGAGGAGGACTCAGGAGGAGGACTTAGGAGAAATGAGAAGGAGGACTGAGGAGAACTGAGGCGGAGGAGGAGAAGGACTGAATAGGAGGAGAAGGAGGGGGACTGGGAGAGGACTGAGGAGGAGGAGGACTGATGAGAAGGATGAGGAGGAGGACTGAGGAGGAGGACTGAGGACCGAGGAGGAAGAGGAGGATGAAGAGGAGGAGGAGGACCCAGGAGGAGGAGGACTGAGGAGGACTGAGTAGGATGGCTGAGGAGGATGATTGAGAGGGAAGAGGAGGAGGACTGAGGAGGAGGAGGAAGACTGAATAGGAGGAGGAGGGGGACTAGGGGAGGACTGAGGAGGAGGATGGAGGACTGAGGAGAAGGATGAGGAGGAGGACTGAGGTGGACTGAGGAGGACTGAGAAGGAGGAGGACTGAGGAGGAGGACTGGGGAGGAGGAGGACTGTTGAGGACTGATGAGGAGGACTGAGGACGAGGAAGAGGAGTAGGAGGAGGACTGAGGAGGGGAGGAGGAAGAGGACTGGGGAGGATCAGGAAGACCCAGGAGGAGGACCCAGGAGGAGGACCCAGGAGGAGGACCTAGGAGGAGGAGGAGAACTGAGGAGGATGACTGAGGAGGAGAAGGACTCAGGAGGAGGACTCAGGAGGACTGAGAAGGAGGAGGACTGAGGAGGATGGCTGAGGAGGATGGCTGAGGAGGATGACTGATAGGGAGGAGGAGGAGGAAGAGGAGGAAGAGGACTGAGGAGGAGGAGGGGAAGGACCCAGGAGGAGAAGGAGGACCCAGGAGGAGAAGGAGGACCCAGGAGGAGGACCCAGGAAAAGGCCCCAGGAGGAGGAGGAGGACCTAGGAGGAGGAGGAGAACTGAGGAGGATGACTGAGGAGGAGAAGGACTCAGGAGGAGGACTCAGGAGGACTGAGAAGGAGGAGGACTGAGGAGGATGGCTGAGGAGGATGGCTGAGGAGGATGACTGATAGGGAGGAGGAGGAGGAAGAGGAGGAAGAGGACTGAGGAGGAGGAGGGGAAGGACCCAGGAGGAGAAGGAGGACCCAGGAGGAGAAGGAGGACCCAGGAGGAGGACCCAGGAAAAGGCCCCAGGAGGAGGAGGAGGACTGGGGAGGAGGAGGACTGAGGAGGACTGAGGAGGAGGACTGACGATGACTGAGAAGGAGGAGTACTGAGGAGTACTGAGGAGGATGGCTGAGGAGGATGGCTGAGGAGGATGACTGAGGAGGATGACTGAGAGGGAGGAGGAGAAGAACTCAGGAGGAGGACTCAGGAGGAAGAGGAGGAGGAGGGGAGGAGGAAGAGGACTGGGGAGGATCAGGAAGACCCAGGAGGAGGACCCAGTAGGAGGAGGAGGAGGAGGACCCAGGAGGAGGAGGAGGACTGAGGAGGACTGAGGAGGAGGACTGACGATGACTGAGAAGGAGGAGTACTGAGGAGTACTGAGGAGGATGGCTGAGGAGGATGGCTGAGGAGGATGACTGAGGAGGATGACTGAGAGGGAGGAGGAGAAGAACTCAGGAGGAGGACTCAGGAGGAAGAGGAGGAGGAGGACTCAGGAGGAGGACTTAGGAGAAATGAGAAGGAGGACTGAGGAGAACTGAGGCGGAGGAGGAGAAGGACTGAATAGGAGGAGAAGGAGGGGGACTGGGAGAGGACTGAGGAGGAGGAGGACTGATGAGAAGGATGAGGAGGAGGACTGAGGAGGAGGACTGAGGACCGAGGAGGAAGAGGAGGATGAAGAGGAGGAGGAGGACCCAGGAGGAGGAGGACTGAGGAGGACTGAGTAGGATGGCTGAGGAGGATGATTGAGAGGGAAGAGGAGGAGGACTGAGGAGGAGGAGGAAGACTGAATAGGAGGAGGAGGGGGACTAGGGGAGGACTGAGGAGGAGGATGGAGGACTGAGGAGAAGGATGAGGAGGAGGACTGAGGTGGACTGAGGAGGACTGAGAAGGAGGAGGACTGAGGAGGAGGAGGACTGAATAGGAGGACGAGGGGGACTGGGGGAGGACTGAGGAGGAGGATGGAGGACTGAGGAGAAGGATGAGGAGGAGGACTGAGGACTGAGGAAGACTGAGGAGGACTGAGGAGGACTGAGGAGGAAGAGGAGGAGGATGAAGAGGAGGAGGAGGACCCAGGAGGAGGACCCAGGAGAACTAAAGAGGAGGAGGAGGACTGGGGAGGAGGAGGACTGTTGAGGACTGATGAGGAGGACTGAGGACGAGGAGGAGGAGTAGGAGGACTGAGGAGGGGAGGAGGAAGAGGACTGAGGAAGATCAGGAAGACCCAGGAGGAGGAGGTGGAAGAGTAGGAGGAAGCATCTAAATGTTATTTCCATTTTTGTCCGTTTTTGTCCATTTTTGTCAGTTTTTGTCCGCTCTATTTTTTGTCCGTTTTGAAAACATAGGGTACCGAACGGACGAAACTACATGATCCCCCTATAACAGCAAAAATTGAACATTTTATTTAGCAATTTAGGTGTCCATTAATGTCCGCTAATGTCCGTATATGTCCGTCAATGTCCGTCTATGTCCGCCTATGTCCGCCTATGTCCGTCTATGTGCGCCTATGTCCGCCTATGTCCTGTCCTTTTTGGATTCTATGAGACAAGCGGACATAGACGGACGTGACACCCCCCCCTACAAAACAAACTTCTAGTCTGTTCGATTGGTCAACTCCAAGAGCTGTTCAAAATTCCAAACAAGATCAGGTCACTTACCGACTCATTGTCAGAGTTTTATCCAAGGCTTCTTGAAGATGAAATAGTGTCCCAGCAAGCCGAGAATTGAGCACATGATGGAGATCAGGTGCTTGGTAAATAGTTCCTTGGAGGACGTAGTAATTAGCGAGTGGGACAACCTGAAGAATATTTATCATCTAAATAGTTTGTGAGTTAGGGTATTTAAGCCATTAAATCTACAATCATTTCTCATCATAATTTGCATTTTATTATATTGTGTCATAAAATAGTTGACAGACTTACATGAGATGGGCTATGTCTTTCTTGTTTTCGGATTATCATGAGATCACTTGCTTCATCAACGTGAAGAAGAGTATATTCAATCCCTGAAATTGTATAGCATAGAAATAGAGCATAAATACTCAAATAGGTTTTGGAACTTGGAAAATATTCAAGAGATTTGATTGCTGCAGCATTTGGTTGCAATTTGGTTCAGAAAAATCAGGAAAAAGGGCAGATTAACAACTAGTGTTACTACCCCCATAACTCTACGCAATTACCCAGCAGTAAAATTAAAATTTTTGAGAAAAACCTTTCATGTGAAGAAGTTGATTTGGATTTAATCTTTGCATCTTTGCTATTTCGTTGTTACATGTCTTATCATAAAAAAGATTGCTGCGTTGACAAAAGTAAGCAAGGACATTGTGAGGATTAAGTTGTTGGTTCCAGTTACTGTCCTTCCAAGATTTTGTCATAGGATTTTCATTAGCCATAGTCAATCAATTTTAAAGACTGTCTGAGAGTAATAATTAATGGTTTTAAAGTTAAAACCGTTTTTTCATTTAAGATAAATATATTATTACAGTCAAAACTCTATATTATATACTGTGCCTCTCTACACCAGGTACCTTAACGTACCAGGCCTCTTCTTTCCCCCAAACTTTTAGTTAATTAGCCCGTTTTGTGCAAGGAAAAGTGACTTATCATACTTCATAGTTCATATCGCATTTTATTGGTGATTTGAGTACATGATATAGAGCTGTCTTGCATCACAATATATGCATACAAGGCCTGTATATGAGACACTTAATAGGTTATTTGAGAGACTGCAGATGCTGGAGATTAAGATCATGTGCGCCTCAGCATACCAGGTTTTAGTCTATATGTGCACTTTTCTTTCTCCTGAGAAGCCGATTTATAGAGGTTTGACTGTCCCAGGAAATCACAAGACAGGGAATTAACACAGGAATTAAGAATATACACATAAATTCAGCAATGATTATTAGTTCTATGTTAACAGTACACTACAAAGCAGATGTATAGATCTCCAACAAAACTCTAGATCCTACCACACTCACTGCCACAGCAAGAGCAATCCATTCAATTCTCTCTGTGAACTAACAATATACAGCCTATTATAAGAGCCCAGATTTCCACTCAAATACTGGCAAGTGCATAATGCTATAGGACCTTAAAATAAAATTGAACTATACAAACTCGATTTATCTAATTTTCTAAAACTAGCATTATATAACATTTCTAAATTATCCCTACACACTTGTAAATAATTAGAATTGTGTAACTTAAATTATTTCAGAATTACAACTATTGTGTACTCAGTAAAGTAATTATCACTATTGTATCCTTGTATCCTAGAAGGGGTATCCTAGGATGATTCTTGATATTTTAGTAAGGCCCTCCTCATTTAACCTTCGATCTCGTTTTCCATTAATCGGCTGAGTCAGCCGAGGAGACATTACACTTATGTGTCAACGGGAGAGAACTTCCTGCAGGGGCCAACAAAGCAGATGGAGCTAGATTAGATGTTAGTGCTAGGAGTGTATGGAACCCATTGGAAAGGGCATTTTTAGATGTAAGAGTATTTCATGCTCAAGCTCCTTCCAATAAGGCTCTTGGATCTCCAACCACTATGTACAATAGCCACGAGAGACAGAAAAAGAATTTATACAATAAAAGGATTGTAGAAGTGGAACATGGGACGTTTACACCAATAGTCCTATCAACCACTGGGGGTATGGGAAGGGAAGCTAATAAGTTCTTCAAGAAATTAGCAGATAAACTTTCTAGGAAATCAGGCCAACGATATAGTGAGGCAATGACATTTATTAGGAAGAGAGTAAGATTTGACCTTTTGAGAACAACAGTTATAGCTCTTAGAGGAGAGAGAGGGTTAAAAAGTAGTAGTGCAGTAAAAATAGCAGAATTAGATATAAATTTGGAGCCAGTTCTTTAAACTGGCTTACTTATACTACTTAAAGGGTGTTTATTTAGTTTTCTATTGAATTTTTATTGAATTTTTATATAGGGTAATTGTTATATTATGTGTATATTGTTTGAATAATCTTACTACTACTTATGTGTAATTTTGCGTAGATGAAATTTATTGCCTAACTGAATAAATATGCACTTATGCTTTTATCTTGAAAAATACGTCAGTTACATTTATCATCAGACAAGATGTAGCTCACGATTTTCTCAAATGAATAGCTGCTACAAGATGCAACACGGTTTTTTTGAGGCACGGTACTTTGGGTTTGCAAAAAATCAACCTTTGTATTGTGATTTCAGGGATGGTTTAACAGTTTTAAAGTAAATATTGTGGAGATCACACTCAGCTCTGCAAAATAAATGTCAGTACTAGTCATCATTAAACCACGCTTTCAGTCACACATGATCAACAAAAAACAAGCACACATTCATTAAGGTGGAATAGTAATACCAAATCTGATTTATTTGATTATATTAGATGGGTTGATAACAGGTAAATTTTTATTGATAAAATTGTATAATAATAAAATAGTTTGGATGCATGAGCTGAGAAATAGTTCTTCGGCCGCGCGCTTGTTATTTCGTCATATCTTCAATCGATGCAATGTGTATAAAAATTTTATTATTAATAAACCTTCGAAAATCCTTAAAAACTCCTTTCTTCATTCTTACTAGCAACTTTTATAACAAACAACAAAGTTGCAAACGGCGCGCGTAATGCGTGGGCGCAATTGCATCAGTTAGCATCAATTAATAGCAGTGAGTAGCAATGAGTAGCAGTGATTAGCAGTTGGCAGCAGTTTATTTCCACGTTGGTCCGCCTTGTCATACGTTGTATGACCCGCCGCGCACGAGTGCGCGGCTCCCCTAGCTGTATCGTAGAAACTCTACCATTGTGAAACGACCGTGGGGGTCACAACATGATACAAGGTCCGCCTGTGAGGTACAATGAAATTTATAAACTATCATACACATTATCACACATTATATTCATTTTTATAAACACACAATTATCATCACATTAGTTTAAAATACAAATAATTCTTTACCAACATAATAGTTCATTAAATACAATTTTATTAATCTCATATTATCAAATCTATAATAATCTATAAAAATTGAAAACCCTGATATTACTTATTTTGCGGCGCGGTGTAATACAAATTTATTCAAGCTTTTCATTTGAAATTTAATCAAGTCCTTGGCCTTTGCCCTTTATGCTTCAATTTTGTAAGTTTATAACTTACCAGGACGCGCGCCGAGTTGAACTCGTCGACGGTCATGTATAATATTGGAAACAAATATCTTACAAGTATCACTTGTTAACTTCAATTTAGTAGCCAGGGTGTGCAATGGCTGCATTTAGTTTTCCTGAGTGCAAGTCCGAAATTGCTTACTTCGTACTGCGTAGTATTTAAGATTTTTGCCTGTGGTAAGCACATGCCAGCATAGCTAATGGCTTACTAATGGCTTACTGAGGAACCTGGTGAGTATTTGAAATTGTAATTAATTGATATGTTGATATGCTCACATGACACTGGATCTGAGTTGATCTGATTTGATACATGTTTCGTATCCCAATATCGGATACGCCTTCGGCGGCGCGCGCTTCACGCGCGAAAAGTGGCATGCAACGTATGTCATGATCTGATATGTTATGAGACAATTAAAATTGCAAAATGATATAATAGGTCATTAAAACATTAAAATAAATTCATTTTGTCAATTCCTTATTTCCCACAAATTCAGCTTAATTTTAAAAACTTTACAAACTTGTTGCACAAGGCTCATAAGTCATAGAATGAATAATATAATGACACTCTAAATATCACATCCTTTGATAAATACTACTGTTTAAGTCAATATTTTATTCTATAATAAAATGTGCTAAAAATTAAATTTCTTGTTTCATTGAATATCACAAAATTTTCGAGCTGAAATATTTTCATTATTAACTATTAACTATCATTTCTTTAGGATAGATATATTATATACTACTGTATAAGTAAAACAAAATTTTAAGTAAAACAAAATGTTGTTACTGTATATTTTTCTATATTTTATGTGTCTCTCCGTAAAAATTACAATAACTTTTGTCGATGTGCGGTTATCATCATAAAAAGTTAAAAGGCAAAAGGCCCACATCCAGAAAGTTTATAATTTCCTCGCAGATACAAATTTTCTGTTTTCTGTGGCCCGCTCGCTTCGATCGCGAATTTTCCACTTTTGCAATTTGGGCGAGTGAAGCAAGACAGTCTTAAGCATTTGGAGCTAGGCCACAGAAAAAATGTTGGGTTTTTGCTTGGCCACATTAAAATCTACAATATCAAAATATCTGAAGTCCTTCAAAATAGTGTATTACAAAACGGCTTTCTCCTACAACCCACAAGTAAAACATGGCCAGCTTGCATCATCTGTCGTAGTTATCACAAATTATTATATGTGCCTTGCAGAGTAGAGGCAACCATACCCTGAGAAATATAGAGTGCATACAACTTAAACTTTCGCACAGACAGGAATTGAAGATATGTTTGCCGCAGGTAAAAATTCTTGATGATTTTGCCCACACAGAAGGCCTAGAAGCAATTGGACAATAGAGATCACTTTCAAACACAGTTTCAAGAACGATTCGAAGAACTGTTAGTTTTTTCCGCTTTCATTTGTCAACAATTTTGGATTGTTTTTAGAAAATAAAACATATTTTTATCGGTATAAAATTTCACTAGATATTACCGAAAATACTGCCACAATACCATAAAATTGTAAAGAAATATTAGTGTTTTTGCCTTCCCAAGTAATCCAAGAAACAGTCCCAAACGTCTTCTAGCATGATAGAATAGGTAGTTTACTTAGATGTGAGCTTAAGAGGTTTATTTACATTTGTATACCTTTGGAACTGTAGAACTGTATGAACTGTTGAAATCCAGAGAAGGTTATTGACATTGTTCTCTTGAGGGTGCTGGCGTTTTACCTTATAATCATTCTGGAGACGGGAACGAGCATGTTACTGTTAACAAGAGTCAAAAATACCGGCTGGGCACTCAATTGAATTCCGTAAGTGTTCTGGGCGTGAAACATTGTCTTCAGGAGAAGGAATCTGTTGCTCCAAGTTATCAACAGGATAAGAAAATGGTTCACTGAATCACTTTAAATGCTTTACTGTATCTATTCGAGGAGAATTGGTATTTGGTGCACTACTGCAGTTCTCAGGAGAAAGAAACCCTTGGTCTACTGTTTTGAAGAGAGCTGGTGCACTACTGTTCTAAGGAGAAGGAAACCGTTGGTCTACTGTTTTGAAGAGAACTGGTGCATTACTGTTCTTAGGAGAAGAAAACCGTTGGTCTACTGTTTTGAAGAGAACAGGCGCACTACTGTTCTCAGGAGAAGGAAACCCTTAGTCTACTGTTTCGAAGAGAGCTGGTGCACTACTGTTCTAAGGAGAAGGAAACCGTTGGTCTACTGTTTTGAAGAGAACTGGTGCATTACTGTTCTTAGGAGAAGAAAACCGTTGGTCTTCTGTTTTGAAGAGAACAGGCGCACTACTGTTCTCAGGAGAAGGAAACCCTTGGTCTACTGTTTTGAAGAGAACTGGTGCACTACTGTTCTCAGGAGAAGGAAACCGTTGGTCTACTGTTTTGGAGAGAACTGGTAATACACTACTGTTCTCAGGAGAAGGAAACCCTTTGTCTACTGTTTTGAAGAGAACAGGTGCACTACTGTTCTCAGGAGAAGGAAACCCTTGGTCTACTGTTTTGAAGAGAACTGGTGCACTACTGTTCTCAGGAGAAGGAAACCGTAGGTCTACTGTTTTGAAGAGAACTGGTAGTACACTACTGTTCTCAGGAAAAGGAAACCCTTGGTCTACTGTTTTGAAGAGAACTGGTAGTACACTACTGTTCTCAGGAGAAGAAAACCGTTGGTCTACTGTTTTGAAGAGAACTAGTGCGTTACTACTTACTGTTCTCAGGAGAAGGAAACCCATGGTCTACTGTTTTGAAGAGAACTGGTACACTACTGTTCTTAGGAGAAGAAAACCGTTGGTCTACTGTTTTGAAGAAAACTGGTGCACTTCTCCCGGAGAAGAAAACTGATGCTCTAATATTTTCAAAAGAAAGGAAGTGGTACTTTAGCAAGATTACTGGTAAACAGTAATAAAAGTCGACAATTAGTTTTTGCGAAATTTGGAGAAAAACATTTTGAGAAAACATTTAGGCTTTGGCCTTCAGCAGAAAAATTATCGGTTTTATCGGTTTTATCTAGATAAAACCTAAATTTTTATCTGTTTATCTAGATAAAAGATTTCATACCGATAATGGATTGCCTAATACCAGCACGAAAATCTGTGGAACCATACCTACCATATCCCCAAATATAAAGTCAATTGGGTGAAAATTGAATATCTTCAATTTTTTAAAAGGGCATAATATATTAACATAGTCCTTTTTCAATAAACTGAACTGCTACTGATATTTATAAAATAAAAGGGCACATGTCGACATAGGCCCTAACAAATTGTTGGAATGTGATGTTTTTGATGATGTTTTTGAAAAGTAGAAAGGGCCTAAGTCAACAAATGCCCTAACAAATTTTTGGAATGTGATGTTTTTGAAAAGTGCAGAAAGGGCCTAAGTCAACAAATGCCCTAACAAATTGTTGGAATGTTTTGTTGGGTGTCCAATCGACGGACTGAGGAGGGGAGGGGGTGGGGGGACTTGGGGCCGGCCCAAGCTCCCTCAAAACTACCGATTACATTACACACATGCACAGGGCCTCATGTATGTAATGTGTCACACTTCACAGATGACAGCAAACAAAAACAAAAACTTATAATATGGTTGAAACAAGACACCCACGTGTACAATCTCAGCCGCGCAGTATCATAACAGTCGATAGTTCAAATTGCAAGGTGTCCTGGACAAGCAAATCATATAGATTACCTGTAGTGGATGCGCTTGATGTGCTTTGTACGATTAACTATGTGTTAAAACTGCGTGGCTTAGTTGTCCAAACGTAGGATTGGACAACCAACAACACAAAATTTCACAAAGATCATGCTTGCGCTTTCATTCGAACGTTTGAGTGAATATAAAGAGCTTTATATTGCGATTAGATATTTCCGAACACTATTACTTTAAAGCACTATTTCTATTTTTAAGCACCAGCCACCAGATGATAATTTTAGGGCTTCCACAGACGCCTGGACGCCCTCAATAGCCGCCTCTGGGACCTATGTACACATAAGCCCTGTAACAATTCTCACATGTAATATGTTTCAATTAATTAAGAGGGGCCTATGTATCAAATTTTGTTTTAAATGGGCCTATGTCAAAATTAAATCAATTACCCCAATTAATTGAAAAGCTTCAGGAACATTTTCAGAGTGTAGGCCAGTCATTCTTTCCATTTAGGATACATAGAAATCAAATTAAAATGCCTATCCTAAAGTTAATTTCCATAAATAGGTTTTTGTGCATTTTCTCAAAACGACTTTTTTGGCATATAATGCCATTTCTGTTTGTAGGTGACGGTATGTAGCAGGGACAAAAGGATTTCGCGGTAATTTTGGCCAAAAATCGCGATACCGTGAATTTCATTTCGCGGTATATTAAACTATACATAAAATTTGTCGCAAATAATGGGAAAAATCGCGATTCCGTACATGCCGCGATTTCCTTTTGTCCCTGGTATGTAGTATTGAAGTGATAAATACAATGCATAATTCATGCAGTCTAATAAGGTAACATCTCCACTTTTTTTCGTCCCTCTAGCGTTCTCTCTCTTGGAAGTGATACCTTGGTGAAACATTTTTAATTTCAAAGCTTTTAAAAGGGTTTGGTGATTCTTCTTCTTCTTCTTCGGGGGCTGTGGTCATTATCACTATAAGATAAAGCATGATCACTGTAAGATAGAGCATTGAAGCCCTGTGCTTACCCCAGTAAAATATTTATTAGTGGAAAAACGTTTAACTTTGTTTTTCCACATTTAGTAAATCGTTTTGTTGCTTATAGTAGAACAACTTTATAATACTCCTTAAGCCGATGATCTTTGGTAGTGAGAACTTGTCCACTATGTCTGTCACACTAGGGTTTGATGGTTATTTCATAATACTTCTATCATGAAGGAATTCCCCTGAAAAATGTCTCCCTGAATTTCGCATTGTCATAAATCTCCATCCAGATCCCAAGATAAAAATGGATAATGGGAGGAATAGTATATTACCAAAGAATAGAATTAATCTGCTGACATAAACACATCATTCGTTTCATAGCGATCTATATGGGCAGAATTTAGCAGATGAGATGGAATAGATCATTTGACAAATTCGGAGAAAGTGAAGCAAATGTTGGTAATGGAGAATAATGCCAACAGGTTCATTTGCAACTATGAGGACATCGCCGATTCATATGAACTTCTTGAGGAGTTGGGACGGTAATTAACTTTAGCATATATTTTTCCTATCTTTATCTTGATAAATGAGATCTCAAGAATCATAGAAAAATAATATCTGAGTTCCTTCAAAAAGTTTGCTTTTTAATTAATTGAAAAACCTATAATATCTTAATATCAGAGGAAAGTTTGCACTGGTAAAGAAATGTAGAAACAAGAAGACTGGGGAGCTTTTCGCAGCTAAAGTTTATGGGAAGCGAGCTGGGAGACGAGGGGAACGTGCCAAAGCACTGAACAATGAGATATCGGTACTTGGCATTGTGCCACCTCACCCTCGGATTGTTAAACTACTGGAGGTTTACCACGGACAAAACGAAGTGGTCCTTATCTTAGAACTGTGAGTACCGGGCTATACATCTCAAACATCATCATAATAATATATCAACTGTAAATTGTAATCTAACCGTCTCTCGAGATTAATTAGATCTAATATTCTGATAATCTGAAACTGAAAAGTGAAATATTTGTTAACACCAGGTTGAAAGGAGGGGAGCTGTTTGAGAGGCTGCTCCAGGAGTCTGTTGGATTGTGTGAGGCACAATCAAGACGAGTAATCAGACAAATATTAGAGGCAGTGAGACATCTACATCAGAACAACTTAGTTCATCTTGATATCAAGGTTTCTGCGTTCAATCTATTCTTATAAATCTTTGTGCCAACTGTTATAGACCAAATAAATAATTTTGTATGTTAATAAGTAAATGTTTGAAACTAAACATCTGTAGTAGTTTACGATCATCAGTACTCCATGTTATATAAATTATTATGTTTAAATGTGTATGTATATCAATTGTACTAACATCTGAATTTGACAGCCCGAAAACGTTCTGCTGGTGTCTCATGACAAGGACAGTGATATAAAACTGGTAGACTTTGGTTTAGCTAAAATGTTAAAAGAGGGTGAAATCATCAGGGACATGGTCGGCACTCCAGAATTTGTTGGTACGTGATCAGTTATATTATCTTAGTTGACGTCTTGTCCTAACGACATGTTAGTTATTTTCCGAAATACCAAGCTAATTTGACAGTTTTGATAATTTGGACACTTTGACATATTATTATATTTAGATAATTTAGATAAATGAAGCCACCGTACCTAACGTCATAATGATCAATAGGTAATTCTAAAAGCCACATAATATTACATTATGTATTTATATAATATATTATATACTAGTGTAACCCGGCCTACGGCCGGGATTTCACTGCCGCAGTTAAAAAGGGTAGGAGTAATTACCCGCTGAGTCAAAACCCGGATTAGGCGAGCAATTGTATTCGGAGTGCCCTCACGTATCCAATAGTATGCTTAAAAAAATAGTAATTCTTAATCAATAATCAATAGAAATTAACCCTGCACCACACCAGCCTATCATATTTGTGAACATGCATTACATTGTCGTATGAAAGTATGAACTCTCTCTACAGTCCAAACAGACCGTTTGAGCACTCCCTCCCCTAATAAGTTTATAGTATCATATGACCATGTAATATATACGCCATGTAATATATACGCTACATATGCAGAGAGAGAGAGAGAGAGAGCTAGCCCCGTAACTCTTGCCGTTCTTCTCAAGCCATTTTATGTAACATATTTTGTGGTACAAAACCATCAATTAAACCACTTACCACCGGCCGATTTTTATAAAATTTGCTTATGGGCTTCATCAGAGTTTTGTCGGCACTATACCGAAAAAACCAGTCCCGTAACTATTACCGTTTTTTTTGTATAACCGTTCGGAAATTACACACAGACAGACACACAGACAGACACACACACATTCTGGTGTTATTAAGTTGATAATCAGGTGCACAGTATACACTGTACAGTGCACAAATTTAAACTAGAAGAATGGATTCCTGGGTTACAATACCCAACACTAATTACTGACGCAACAGGTCCTCTCTTAACATTGTCTTATTTAATCTTGTTGAAATATAATATTAGATCTGATCACACCGTGATATTTAACCTTTCCAGCTCCGGAGGTGATAAACTACGAGCCGATCACGCTAGCTGTAGATATGTGGTAAGTCAGCATCTCTTTATTTGGGCATCAATACCCGCAGATCCTTATTTGGCCATCAATCCCGTCCATCCGTGCGTATGTGTGGCGTGTGTGTGTGTGTGGGTCGTGTTTACGAAATATCAGAATTCCAAACGTTTCGGGTAAAACCCTACTATTTCGTCCTGGCAGCTGGACAGAGAAATTCCTCAATCACGGGCTACTATATCCCATACCAAACCCGGGCCCCGGAATCTGGGTTCTAATTACTAGGGAGGCACTAAAAGTAGTTAAGTTAAGGACACGTGTTCCGAGCAAGTTTACACTGGAACTGCACCAGGTCTGAAATGTAGATAGGAGGAAGCAATGGTAGAGAGAGTGTGTGAGTTTAAAACAGGGCACTTTCTAATTCCCAGGGGATGGATACTGTTGAAATTTAATAAAAAACACGTATTTTACCAGGGATGTGTGAAGCAAGCTAGCAGCTAGACGTTTTCCTTGCTTGTCCTTGTTCTGCATTATTTATTATCTTATTTCGTAACTGAATTAATGACATCATGGTAGAATTTCATTGAATTTGAACTTAAAAGGTTCACGATGACAACATAATATAATATATCTAAATAATATATCACCACCTTAGTAAGGCGGGAAACGTTATTTCACCTTCACTTTTTCAGGAGTATTGGCGTTCTGACCTACATATTGTGAGTACAGATTAGTGTGCACACAGTATTATATATATCACGATAATTATAGTACTTTAAAGTTCCTGATGTTAAAATGTTTTACCTAACACCTTCTAATCCTGTGTGTATTTTAACATGTATAGTTGAAACCAGTACATACCATCATCACATACAGTAACGTACTGTAACATACAGTATAATTACTCGATAGTGTCCGGTAAACGCACATAAGACCAAACCAATGCCTTATATAGTCATACTCGGCTCCTTCCGCAATGTGCTTAGGGTCAAACGTGTGTTTAAACAGGCATCCAGAGAGAGAGAGAGAGAGAGAGAGAGAGAGAGAGAGAGAGGGAGGGAGGGAGGGAGAGAGAGAGGGAGAGAGAAAAAGTTTAACTCCACATTTCCAGTGGGTTTGAAGAAATGACAGTAGTAATAATACAATATAATAATAACATAATAACATAATACATGTAATAACACACACCCACACTTGTAATATTATGCAGCTCTATGCAGCTCTATTTCCCACGTCGCGCCTGTCATGCGGCGATCCCAGGCAGCACTACAGGAAGTGTACAGCACTATAACAGGAACCAATATTATAATACTGCACTTCTTCTTCCTGGATATACAATACTCTGGTAGTGTCATTCTGATGATGATGATGAGGAGGAGGCGGTGTGTGTGTAGTGCTGAGTGTGGGTATATTGAGATACGTTATAGAAGTGTGCTGAATATATTACATTATATTAATGTATTACGTGAGAGAAACTTGTATTATGACGTGGTACGTACCGGCATTATTTCGTTATAATATTTGTGGGATATTCTTTAGATTGAAGAAGGTTCTATACACTTGACTGGAGATATTTTGGAGGATAGTATCTTTACACACTGGGACTTTACAAAATGTTTGTAACTCTCAATAGTTTGACATGTCGTGCATGTAACCATGAAGCAAGTATATGAAGTTCAGCAGGTAACCAATTAGGGGATTGGAAATCTAGAGACAGTCTGGTTTCAAGTTGACTGTATTACAATTAGTCCATTGAGCGGATGATATCACTATTATATCAGATTGTTACCAATCAGCAATTTTCATGCTCCTCTAGACGAATTAGTAGAATAATCTATAATTACTAGAATTAGTCTGAATAATAATGATAATTTGCTGGTGTGAAATGCAATCCTAGATAATTAGTCTTAGAAGCTCAAGGCATTGATATTACAGGTCTAGAAATATACGTTATATTACAAGATATAAAGGGGTCTATACTCTATCATATTAATTAGTAGATGTAAAAAGGGTCTGTTAGAATAACTAACTGAGTGTTAACTGTAAAGGGTCTAAAACAAGGTAAATTTTTGTCAGATCCCAGTAAAAAATTGACAAAACAGACAAAAAACACAGCACTGCATGATATTATAACTCACAGATAAAGAGGAAATAAAAGTTTATGTCAAGAGTAAGTTTGATATTAGAAGAGTTAAACTACTATTAATTAAAGTACCTGGTAAAAATAAAATGTAAAGGGACCGTTCACATTATATATTAAGAAAGCCACCTAGCGGCCAGCGGGGATGAGGGAGGGGTTTTGGAAAAGCATACGATTGCCCACGAAAAAGGGGGTCTAAAATGACAAAAAAACTGGTTTTACGTGATGAGTGAACAATCCCAAACAAGAATAATAAAGTAATAAAACGCTGCTGTCGAACTGCAGGTATCTCAGAGAGAGACTTGTTTTTACCTGGTCAGACTTACCAGCCGCCTGTAACAGTTCTCCTAGACAACTACCAGGAATGTTATGTCTACTCGGGGTGAGATGGGTTGTTTTGCTTGCTTTTCTCAGAAAGAAAGGCAAGGTGTTATTCCCGATAAATTCTTTGTATATCTCAAACAGCACTGATATTTTCTGTGCAAGTTGACTTCTTTTTATCAGCTCTCTCTCTCTCTCTCTCTCTCTCTCTCTCCCTCCCTCCTAGCTGTTTTAGTTCTTCGTAACATTTCCAGCTGAGCAGTCTCATTAGGAATCAATGTTATGGTTTCACACTACTCTGTTGTGTAGTTGGGTGGAGTTGAATAGTTTAACCATAATAGGTTTTCGTCTTGGCATTGTGCCAGCTAAAACTCTAGCAGTGTTTTTAAACGTCTAGGTGTGTGACTGCTATTATAGCTAACATACGATATGTTTTATAACAACGTCCTGGAGCAGCCCTTCTTATGGAATTTCTCATTTGTTCAGTACACTGTTACCCTCTATTACTTCATTCTATTACCATAGTCACAACCTCAAAACACATGACCTGCTCCGAGCGCTGTGATTGGTGGAAATCCTGCTGTTCTTGCAGCTGATTGGTCGAGCCAGTGGGCCCTCATCGGGTTTCAGTAAATAGGATCCCCGCTCTGGCAGCAGCTTCACACATCAGCGAGCTGAACTATGTACCTTTACTCTGGGACTCGGTTAATAATATTCAGAAAGGTTGAAATATTTCGTCAGACTCGGTAGCATTCCTGGGAAGTGACACTTGTAGTTGCACTGTACGCTGTTATATATATATATATATTAAAGTACGCAGTTATATATATTAAAGTACGCTGTTATATATTAGGGTACGCGCTTATATATTAAAGTACGCTGTTATATATATTAGAGTACGCGGTTATATATTATATAAGAGCTGCACACCGCGCGATTATTAATTCTTTCTCAAAATAATGAAAAAGAAGTTAAATGGTTCGTCCTTAAATTTCGTCCTTCTAATTTAAACAGTTGGAGATATCTAAGGACAAAGAAGTTGGAGAAATTCAATTATTAATGATCAAAACAACAACAATAGTTTGTATAAAATGAGCTTAATCTATCAGATGGCTTATTTTACATGTTAGTTAGTAGCTTCCAGTTCCATGACTAATTATTGTCAACAATTTCATTCTTGAAGCTTAATTCAAAACTACCTGCGTATTGAACCTGCATATTGAAAGTTCATATACAGACTGTTCGTGGTAGCCTACTGCTAACATCCACAGAAATATGGTATATATTATTTAGTTCCAATCAATGTCACATGATTGGCTTGCAACTATACAATATTTAATAAATGACAACCTGATGAATCATTAATTGATAATAAGCGTTTGAAGTAAGAACCAGTTCTAAATCTACGAAAGCTCTTCATGTTGAGAATTTCTAAACTCTCTGTGATAAGTAAGCCCAGTAACTGTACTAATAGATCTTAGTCTTCAGCCAGACCATTAGGCTACCCACCACGCTCTGTAACCTACAGTATAGCAGCTATTATAGCTGTTAAATTGGATAAGCAATGAAACGGCTTCAAGTAGGTGATGTCTTCGTAAATAAAATTACATCTCTAGCCTCAAATTATTTGTTATATAGTAGTGTTGAAAGTATTATTATAGCTGTTATAGCTGCTATTAAAGCTATTATTATAGCTATTATTATAGCTGTCCTAGCTTTTATTATAGCTGTTATATTTATTATCACAGCTGTTATAGCTATTATTATAGCTATTATTATAGCTGTTAGGTATTATAGCTGTTATTATAGCTATTATTATAACTATTATTATAGCTGTCATAGCTATTATTACAGCTGTTATAGCTATTATTATAGCTATTATTATAGCTGTTATAGCTATTATTACAGCTGTTATAGCTATTATTATAGTTACTATTATAGCTGTTATTATAGCTATTATTATAGTTACTATTATAGCTGTTATTATAGCTATTATTATAGCTGTTATTACAGCTGTTATAGCTATTATCATAGCTGTTATAGCTATGATTATAGCTATTATTATAGCTGTTATAGCTATTATTATAGCTATTATTATAGCTGTTATAGCTGTTATTATAGCTGTTATAGCTATTATTATAGCTGTTATAGCTATTATCACAGCTGTTATAGCTATTATTACAGCTGTTATAGCTATTATCACAGCTGTTATAGCTATTTTTATTTTATTCCAAAATTCAAATAAACTTTACATCAATGTATTACAGTTATATTCAATAAAAAAGACCACAATATCTCCTGTGAGGCAAAAACATGGAAAAAGAGAGCTAGAAAAATATTCATGAGACTCAACACTACCAGACTACAGCTGGAGTGAGAAACATTATGTAAACATCAAAGTAAAATTTATTTCGGCTGAACCAAAACACGGTGGTTAAACCATAATTACATTGGTGCCGACCCTACATAAAATCATTAATAAATAATCAATAGAACAAATATAAATGTATACTATACCTTCTTGCTACTACTCCATAAACTTACACGACGTAACAACAAAATAACATAATTATATATATTATAATATTATGATAACAATCTATCTAGCCACTCACGCACCTACTGCGTGACGCGCTTGTTTCGGGTTGTTATAGCTGTTATAGCTATTATTATAGCTGTTATAGCTATTATTACAGCTGTTATAGCTATTATTACAGCTGTTATAGCTATTATCACAGCTGTTAGAGCTATTATCACAGCTGTTATAGCTATTATTATAGCTGTTATAGCTATTATTATAGCTGTTATAGCTATTATTACAGCTGTTATAGCTATTATTACAGCTGTTATAGCTATTATCACAGCTGTTATAGCTATTATTATAGCTGTTATAGCTGTTATTATAGCTATTATTATAGCTGTTATTATAGCTGTTATAGCTATTATTACAGCTGTTATAGCTATGATTATAGCTGTTATAGCTATGATTACAGCTGTTACAGATATTATTATAGTAGGCTGGAGAGTGGAGAAGTAGCGGCTGCCATGCCAGCTCAACGTGATGAAATACCTGCATATTGTCCAATCAAGTACTTAGCCAACATTAACACAATATCTGACTGGCTGTTATTTCTAAGTTCTGAGTACGTTGAATTTAGTGCCAATTGACCCAGCATGGACACAGCTCATGTCGCAGTTCTTACAATCTTATCAGAGCAGCTATATCAACATTTCAACTACATCAGCTACATCAGCTATATCAATATTTCAAGTACATCAGCTATATAATCAGCTACTTCAGCTATATCAACATTTCAACTACATCAGCTACATCAGCTACATCAGCTACTTCAGCTACATCAGCTACTTCAGCTACATCAGCTATATCAACATTTCAACGACTTCAGCTACATCAGCTTTATCAACATTTCAACTACATCAGCTACTTCAGCTACATCAGCTACATCAGCTACATCAGCTACATCAGCTACATCAGCTACTTCAGCTACATCAGCTATATCAACATTTCAACGACTTCAGCTACATCAGCTATATCAACATTTCAACTACATCAGCTACTTCACTCTTCAGCTACTTCAGCTACATCAGCTTAATGCTAAGTAGAGTGTACTGAGATTACAGAGCTGTGCTGTCAGGTGAGGAGGAGGAGGAGGAGGAGGTATAGTCTCATTACATCACACATGGAGAAAGGAGACCAATGACACACTGTCACACAGTAATCCTAGACACGTTCACAGGTCACATACTGTGTGTGTGTGTGTGTGTGTGTGTGTGTGTGTGTGTGTGAGAGAGAGAGAGGACAGTTTGTGTACCTACTAAACATTGTTAGTACCGTGTCACCACCTGTCTTGTTATCAGGGTGTACTCTGTAGACAAACCACTATTGTACACCCTGACAGCCAGGTTATCAGTTGTAGAATGTTCCGGTTATTTTAGGGTATTCTCCTGTTTTAGTGTTAACAAATGTAATAATGTGACGTGAGTGTTATACCACCACCACCTGCCATTATTTGTAGTAATACTGGTATCAATGATGTGATCTATAAGCCAGTACATTTAGTGCTATGAAGGTTACATTTAGAAGAGGTGGGTGTTGAACTGTCAGATATAATGAAACATGAAGATGAAATGTTGGGGGGGGGAGGGAGAATGTTACAAGACTTTAAATTTCTATAAAGTATACTCATATTAACATATAATTAACACATAATTAATAATACAGATATTAACCTTAAAATAGGATGTGAGTCAGTTTAACAAATTGCATCTTCTAATGCTCTACAGACCACAGTGCATGTGATTGCGCCTATTTTTAAAGGTCACACATAATTTTTCCAAAGTTCATCTAGGTCAAAAACGTTTTAAATTCTCTTTATATTGATAAGTTTCCGGCGTGCGCAGCATAGTTTTCAGGGGCGTATCCTCACATAATTTAAAACCAATATAATATACTCCTGAAATGAATATTCCCGTTAGACTAGCGATGAATTGTCAGGAATTCAATAAATCTTTGTAATAAAAGGTAAAACACTTTCATGTTGATGTTCATTAAAAGAAAGTTAGTGAAAAATGTCAGAAGCTTGAGCATGAAAGTTATGCAGTATGCACAGAAAATACTCTTTAAATATCGATTTCACAAATTATATTATTATTTACGTAATACTTCTAATCCTCATTTTAGTCTGAAACATAATGCGAGTGCCCGTTTTTTGGGCAATTGATAAATAGGTGAGTTATAACCATTAACCAATGTTATGGAAATAAAACCAATTTCATCATAATCTAATTTGGTCGTGCACTAAAGTTGGATTTATGATATCTTTTCTTGAAAAAAAAAACCAATTTTCTCCAAATTAGATTACCCAGGCTGACTATTCAGAAAAAAATCAGAAATTTTCCTGAAAAAATAAATTTTCTCCAAATTTGATTACCCTGGCTATTTGCCAAGTCACAAAAAAGAAACATGATGTTATTTGCCAGGTTATTTGTAGAACAGTTGTTGTGACCGTATCTTTAACCGTCTACAAAACAATAGAAAAACAGCTGAACTAAAATCAAAAATATAAATTTCACAGCCGGTACACTCCACTCCCGTCTACTCCAAACAATTTAGTCGGTGAAGTTATGACAGCATTCCTCCCGTTAAAACTGTGTGGGATAAATTTAAAACAATCCACCTTGTAAATAAATAAATAAAACGTGATATGGTCCCCTTGATGACAGGTGCTTACGGTCTGCAAATTGTTACTGTCTATTTATAAGGTCCCCATTTATAGGTTTATAGGGCGTGTTTTTTGCACTATGTATTCTAACGAAAATGACAGGGAAAGGGGTGTGATTAAAGAATTCCTCCACTTTCAAGGCAACTTTAATCAGGTACGGAATTTTCTGAGACTTTCCAAATTAGCGCGCTTGCAGGTTGGCTTGTTAATTTGTTACTATTAACAATGAATGGGGAGGTTTGTGTAAATGACCACTCGCCCATCTTATTCTATGAAAACAGGATATTATGTAATATTGATAACAGTTCGTACGTGAGATACACGTGAGAAGATACCAATGTTACCTTTGAGTAGGTTACTGATTTCAAGATCATCCCACCTTAGCACACATTATTATATAATATTATATAATATTTATATTTAAGGAACAGCTGATCATGTGTAATCAAACCCAAGTCTACGAATCCAGATAAGATATATAACATCTAGCTTTTACTGAAAAATGTTGTCCGTATCTACATTTTACAAGGATATAAATAATATCTCGTTCTAAACCCGGGCCTGCGAATCCAAAACTTTAAATAACATATTTCGAATAATATATCTGAAGTAATATATTAAAGTTGATATATCTCGTCCTAGAGGCCGTACGAAAGTTATAGAACCAGGTACAAACTAAAGAACATGCCCGGAGTCTAGGTGTAGACAGTGCAAAGTAATGTAATGTCACGTGATCAGTACAAAGTAATGTAATGTCACGTGATCAGTACAAAGTAATGTAATGTCACGTGATCACTTGATCAGTGCAAAGTACTGTAGTGTCACGTGATCAGTACAAAGTAATGTAATGTCACGTGATCAGTACAAAGTAATATAATGTCACGTGATCAGTACAAAGTACTGTTTTGTTATGTCACGTGATCTCATTCTCAGTGATATTTCAGCAGAGTTCAGCACATACTGCCACGAGTTGTTGTATTGTAGGGTACTTAGTATTCTATTCCGGTACGTGACTGCAGTTTCTTTATAAATCATATTGTTATTTACCAAACAAGTTTTACTTGTATATTTCCAAAATGATTTCATTTTTAGATGGGTTACCTGCAGTAGAATTGGATTAACTAAAAGATTATATAGTTCACTTTTAAATATTATAGCATTATCATATCGATTGGATCATGCATAATTTGCATCAAAAGAATACGGTTAAACGCGGATACTTCAGTTTACCAGGGTAATAACCTGATTCAGGGTTCACAGCAGTTGACTGGTAAAATAAAGCAGCCCGAAAGTAATCAATAGGAAGAGCGTGTGTTTTGACGTAAGATAGCACGTGCTGTAACGCAACACAGCACGTGCTGTAACGCAACACAGCACGTGCTGGCGCGCTAATAGAACGACAACATAACTCCAACCTAAATACTTTCTCTGTCGGTACAGGTGCTGATAGAAAAGGGCAGGCTTCCATACCTCAGTATATATATAAACACTATCAATTGTGTGTACAGTGTACGTGTCCCTAAGTAGGGTATCAGCAGAGCTACACCACGTGACACAACACCTCGTGACACGACACCACGTGACACAGCACCACGTGACACAAATTCTTCGGATCCCCAGGAGGCCACCTTCAACAGGGCACATCCTGCTGCTTTGAACACACAGCAACAAGCTACTGATTTATCATGAGGCGACACAAATATAAATACTAGTAATCTCTGACTTGTTCTGTAATTATTAATATAATTTTTTCCCTTAACAACGCAGTAGCACGCTTATCGTGTGGAGAAAGAGAGATATAATATTGAAATTAATATCCGGGTACGTCGTTAACCGCCTACACAGTTAACACTGATATAACTTGAAGCTCGCAATATACCAGCAGATACAATGACACGCGCCGCCGAGAGCTATTTGCTACATAGCCGACTGTTAAGTAAGATACCCTTTTGTAGCTGAGTAATAACCGGGGGAAGGAGTGAGAGATATAACCCTATATAGTAGTGGCAAGCTCAGGTAGGTGAGCGCTGAGGAATGTAGTTGAGATATCAAGGTGTGTCCTCTCCTGTATTATAATGAGATCGCGCTACTCAGCATTCTCTGACACAACGGCAGCAAGCTACCACTGGGCTGCTGTAGGACACGCTGCTGGCCGGCAGCATGCTGCCACTGGGCTGCTGTAGGACACGCTGCTGGCCGGCAGCACGCTGCCACTGGGCTGCTGTAGGACACGCTGCTGGCCGGCAGCACGCTGCCACTGGGCTGCTGTAGGACACGCTGCTGGCCGGCAGCACGCTGCCACTTTGCTGCTGTAGGACACGCTGCTGGCCGGCAGCACGCTGCCACTGGGCTGCTGTAGGACACGCTGCTGGCCGGCAGCACGCTGCCACTGGGCTGCTGTAGGACACGCTGCTGGCCGGCAGCACGCTGCCACTGGGCTGCTGTAGGACACGCTGCTGGCCGGCAGCACGCTGCCACTGGGCTGCTGTAGGACACGCTGCTGGCCGGCAGCACGCTGCCACTGGGCTGCTGTAGGACACGCTGCTGGCCGGCAGCACGCTGCCACTGGGCTGCTGTAGGACACGCTGCTGGCCGGCAGCACGCTGCCACTGGGCTGCTGTAGGACACGCTGCTGGCCGGCAGCACGCTGCCACTGGGCTGCTGTAGGACACGCTGCTGGCCGGCAGCACGCTGCCACTTTGCTGCTGTAGGACACGCTGCTGGCCGGCAGCACGCTGCCACTGGGCTGCTGTAGGACACGCTGCTGGCCGGCAGCACGCTGCCACTGGGCTGTTGGAGAGAGAGGACATAGAGAGGGCAGAGAGAACACACTGCAGTCATACCAGCACGCTGCCATGCTGCAGGACACAGCACGCTGCCCGTAATGTCAGCCTAGAGAGTTGACGGAGAGTGCTTGACGACTCGTGCTAATAGATTTAATACTGACCACGTCCTGCTGTCAGATACTACTGTTCGGCTGTTCGGTACGTGGTAACACTTAAATACCTGACTGGTGGATACTCTGGTAATTCCTGAGCAGTAGTAAGATGACGGGATTACAGTGGGAACAAGCGGGATGGAAATATTATGGACGGGACGTAATGTGACGGATATGTATTAAAACTAGTTGAATTTCCTGTAATCTTGCAAACTAAAATATTCTTTAGTAGACTCTCACAATCATTTTGTCGGAGTAAGGACTAATGGTATCGTAGGTGTAAGGATAATTCTATTTTGTTATTTATAGTTATAGTGTACGGTACTCGGTTGACAAAACTGCATAGTGCAGCAGGGAATATGGTCCACGTACAGATAAAGAAAGTTCTAGTAGAATCCAGAGTAATCTAGTAGAATCTAGAGTAATCCTGAGTAATCTTCAACAAAAGGAGCAGGCGGATAATTATGAAATGACCCCGATACAGTGCTGATAACAGTGGTGTTACAATCGGGGTTTTATTGTAGACTGTGTGTGAGCGTGTGTGTGTATAGTTAGGAAGGTGATGTCTGGTTCTGATACAGACGACCATTCGGCTGCTCAGACCACATTTTACTACCAACACACGTTATCTTCAACATCCTACCTTGCTGATTAGTAGTTAACATACTATATTTATTTTACTTACTTACTTAGATCACAGTTTACTATTCGTATTATTCCGGAATTTATTCCGGCATTTATCCCGACTTCGGTCTTCGGTGTGACGGTGTCTTGAAGCTGGGGTGCTGCCCGATAGAATAATCTAGATAAAGTTGATGATTCCACCTGATGATAGCGCCTAGTCTGCTCGTAATATCGGTTGGTCCAGTTAAAACTGTACTCTTGCTTGATATCAAGCCGAGAAGAACGATGTAACATGAACATATTAATCGTGCGGCTAATAAAAGATCGCTCAACACTACTGACTCTAAACGTTTCTCTCAATATTACCAGTTACTCTAAATGTTACGGGTCTAACAAATAAGTACTTTCAATATTAATAAATAATATATTATCGGTCTAACAAATTCCATGCCCATATGTGGTTGATTTACTTAGGGAGTCCTTGAGTGTAGCCAGCAGGAGTTGTACTCCGAGTACACGGCGAGAAGGCTTTCCGCTTACCCGGGGGAGGCCAGCGACCTCCGACCTTAGCAGAGAGAGAGAGAGAGAAATATGTGGTTGGATCACGTGTTTATCACGGGTCAACTTTAAGGTAAACAATTTTGCCTCATCAGTCACATCCCCACAAACATTCACGCCTATTACTATAGTACCAATCTAACTGACTCCTTCGCAGATTGAGTGGTAGTTCCCCGTTTTTGGGAGACACCCAACAAGAAACCTACTCTAACATATCTCTCGTGGACTACGATTTCGAGGAGGAGGTGTTCGATACCATCTCTGACCATGCTAAAGAGTTCATCTCTAAACTGCTGGTTAAAAGATCAAGGTAATTGTAATACCTGGATCAACTATTGATCTTCTTTAATAGAGAATAAATCAACAGTTACTGTCGATTTATTCTCTATTAATCAGAGTGTTAATGAAGTACACTCTAATTCTTCTTGTGGCTATCAGCTGTGAATTATTGTCATGATCCTCAATTCTTTACTTACAACTGATCCTCAAAGATTATGATTAGGTCAGGTGACGTGATATATTTCAGTAAGCGGATGACAGTAGAAGAGAGTCTGAACCACCCCTGGATGTGTATGCTTCTCAGGTCAGTTCACGAGATAAATATCACTATATGCATATACTCCATCGTGTCCCCCGTCACCACCACCCCAGTGGAGAGGTGAGTGTTTAAATCCTATAATGGCAGCTCTGATATTATGAAAGGTGAAAACTTGTAGACCGTTTCAAGGAGATAGCCACTGCATTGCTCCAAGATTTTTACCCGATTAGGGAGTATGTTCCAGACCCAAGCTGCCTTGATAAGCAACCTAAACTGAGTTGTGGGGGTGATTGTAGCCAACTGTGGTCTTATTATATGGGGTATGAGCGAAGTTAGGATTGGTAGAGGTCAGGTTTACAGAAACTAAATTTATAGATGTTAGAATTCAGGTAAAATGCATCAACCTCTTTGTATTCACCTGAAAATTCAGACTTAACCTCTTAACGTTACAATGACTGTTACATTTTCCACGCACATTAATTTGTTTCAATTATAACTCATCATTGATGCTTTTATCCTTTCTTGTTTTCTCCTAATTACATACTTCCGCCTATCTATACCAAATATTATGGGCTAATCTGAAAATTGATGCATAATATCCATTTGCAAAAGAATATTACATGGTGTTATAATAAAGTAGAAAGATTTTTCTGGCCGAAAATTAGGCCTGACTTAAATTTGTTTCGCCCGGCTCAATTCCTGTGCTATCATACGAATTTCAAGTATACTTTTAGCACACAGTTATTAGTTTGACGTTGTTGGGTGTTCCCTATACTATATAGTAAGTAGTCTGTTCTTGGACGCGAAAGTGGAGGAGATTCCTTAATAACATACTTCGCATTTTATCATCTCAATAGTGTTATAAAATTTGTTAGTGCTATATAATAATTTGTTAATGTGAGCACAATTAGTGTGCACAATTCTGTTATAAAAACGGTATATTGTGAAACATTCCGGCGGTTCACTTACAAAAAGTGGTTAAAACTAAAATAAAACTACGTGCTGCTGGTAAAGATATCGTTATATAATATATTGCCGGTCTTTTAGCACCACTCCCCCCGCAAATAGCTTACAAATAACCCTTCTAAACAGTACTGCACATTCCAATCTGCCAGCCTTTCATTTCTTTCATTTCTTTCATCAGAAACTCAGCTAAAACCCGATTATTTGTGTCGTAAGAAGAGATTCCGCGGTCCAGATTACTGGGTTGTAGTAATATAGCGTCAGGAAATGTCTAAAATACGAACTTAGTCAATAAAATGTGGCCTCCTACTGACAGGTATCATGTAGGTAATGTTGAATTATCAGGGCTACTGGGCTACTGTATTTTTAATGGCTTGGTATGTTAAAACTTGTGCGTCTAATTACGCGATGAAAAGAACACAACAATCTACTAACAAGAGTTAGCCATGCTACGTGCGTGAAAATATATTCGAAAAAGAAAAAAAGAAGTGTGTTGCAGTTATTTCTCTACTTTCTATTGGTTACAGGTAAATCGGCGTCATCATGTTCCTCCGCAGACGTTTCCATCGATGTAGTTAAAAGATCTTTATGTTAGAAAGCATAATTAGATTCCTTCATTACCGTTATTTTGGATTGAAAACAGACACATATTTCGTCTAAAAGTTGACAGGCATTATCTTGTGACGAAAATATAAGACGTAAGGGCCCCGAATTCTTTTGATCTAGAGTCTCAACAATTGTAATTATATTACATACCATCCAGACTTAAAAGATTGGGCTTATACAAATTTAATTAAGTCGTGTTGACGAGTTTTATTGCTATTAGTAAATGGACTCAAGCATTGGCTGCGATCCAGTAGGAAACCCGTACAAGATTTGTTAAAGAGTCTCGAATTCTACAACTTCGACTCAGCCGTTTCATGAAATAGATTAGCATCACTGCTTCCTCAATCGTTTATAAATTCCATTAGTAATACAATTGCATTGAATTCACGATTGTAACCTAAAGAATATAACGTGATGACCTTCAAGAGGTTGGATGCGTTTCTAAAACGTGACCCGGTCCTGTAAGCCTTCATCGACTGCACCCTTTAAATGTTAGATGATCCGATGTGTTAAGACTATAACGGAATGATTGTGAAGCCATTGTAGGATACTGGCTACCTTATCTCAGGAGGGCAAATGGTTTTAGCTTCTTTGAGGATGATCGAAAATCTAGTAAGGTCTACTTGTGAGACGTATTGTAACGCGCGATATACTCTTTATCGAGGACTGCGCGCTATAATAGCGCGCATTGTGACGCGCGCACGGTTTCGCAAAGAGTCCAGAATTTGAATCGGTTCCAAGGGAGTTCCTAATCTCAGGAGACGGTTCGCCGTCCAAGTCTGAGATCCCCGAGGCCCCGACCCCCAAAGCCTGGGACAGTGGGACCAACAATATTGCACCTACGATCACAATTTGTTGTTATTTCTTTTAAACAACTCTTCGTAAGCGATGAAGGGATCCCTCGTAGCCATTGTTATTTAACGGGAATGCATTTCGAAGCACCTTATTGGCAATGATTACACAGGGGCACTAACTCCTGAGATAAAAGATCGCTTGTTCACATCGAACTTAATATAACGATCTAACGTGGGTAGTTGCACAATTGACATCATTTAACCAGTGTTACAAATATCAATATGATATTGCCATAGATGGTATAATTGACAATTTTACTGACACTATGCATTTTTATGCTAACTATGAATCTATAATTTTAAGTTCATTTAATGCTTATTTCAGCGCTGACACATCTCTGGAAAGTGAGACGTCACCTTCGAAATCACCTACTCTTAAAGTTGACAGGTAGGATTTTTCTCGAAAATTGTTTCAATCTCTTCTTGATTCTGCTCTACTCTAGTCTAACCTCTAATTTCTAATTTCTACAGTCCGTCTCTTAGTACAAATGAAGGTCACAGACTAGATCCCGACGGCATAACCTTGTCACAACCATGTCATAACCATGTCACAACCATGTCATAACCATATCAAAACCATGTCATAACCATGTAATAACCATGTCAAAACCATGTAATAACCATGTCAAAACCATGTCATAACCATGTAATAACCATGTCATAACCATGTCATAACCATGTCATAACCATGTCGCAACCATGCCGTCGGGGCTCTAGTCTATGACCCAAATGAATGCGTCCAATCATTAACATTTCGTTCTTTCGTGGCTTTGACAATGTTTACTGCTTTAAAGGGAAAGCAGGGTTAATGTTGGGAAATTAATTTTATAATTAATCTTATAAGAAATGCTTTTAGTTTCCGATTTAACGCCATATATATACAATATTGGTCGCGATCAAGTTTCCAAGTATAAACATTGTCATTTCCAGTGAAGATAATGGGTCAAATCCTAACCTTCACCGTTTAATTACATTCATATGGATGTTGATAGATTTACTCTTCAAGCGAATTTTGAAATAGATTCAACGTAAGTTACCGTGACGAATCAATGCATTTGGAAGGTTTTGTAGATTGAAATTTAAATGTACGATTAAATCGAACCGTAACCCAACCATGTTCGCAGAATTTCATACACTGTAAATGCAAATGTTGGTTTGTAAAATACACAAAGATTAAAAAGCACGCAGCATTCTATCTAAATTCTACATTAAAAATCTTTATCGAATCTTTGGGTTTCTTTTCTTGTGTGATGATCAGTGTATGGAGACTAATTCTGAATGTTTATCATTTTTGTTTGCTTGCTTTTTGGGATACCTGGCCATGGGATGTTAACGTTATTCGCCATTTAATGACATGATATTATAACGAAATGATGCATAAAAAGGATTATTATTCATGCAGAATTTTTGCTTGAATGAGTTGCATAACCCGCATTTAACTTGCATAAAACATAGGTCGCACTTTTACCCATTTTTACCAAATTAAATCATTGCATCTATTAGCTGTGACCCTCAAAAATCCAAAATATAATCATTTAATGCTGCTCAGGACTCGCTACAGAAGATCAGAAGTTCAGATTGACACGACAAAGCTGGTTATACCCAGCAACCACGCATAGCACCTAGCAACCACGTAGCAACCTTGCATAGCACCTAGGACTAGGAACTAGTAGAATGTACATTGTCAAAGGAACTTCAAGGACCCTTGGCATGTAGGAGAGAGTGGGTAAATGTAAGCCCGCGTGGGTAAATGTGAGCCGCGCCGTTCAAGTAGACGAGTGGTCTTATCGTGACGATATGGATCTTATCTATTGACTTGTTTGATTTTATTGTATTATATCTGTGAATTCACGGCCTGACTTTAAGTTTACTTTATTTAATTTAAATTACGTTCGAGCTGTAGTTCTATATTATAATGGTGTAATTCCTTTCAACAGGGATGCAGGTTATGAAGTATACTTAGCAGTTAGATCATGATTCATGCTCATAGTTTATCAATAGCCCCTTTTTGTTTTCAATTCTGAAAACATGCGATCACTTGGACATAGCCTGTTGTAGATTTAATCTTTTTTATTGAACATTTTCTGAGCTTAATCGATGTTTGTATAACCTTGTTAAAAGAAATTGGACTTGGCTATTTTAGATATAGGTAGAAAAGATGCTTTCTTAATTTGATAAATTATTTCTATATTATTTAAAGTTATATGTTATGTATGTTCTTAGTTTGAATCGCACGATCTTAATATGGATGTCTGAACATTTCAGTTTAAGACCTGTTTCATAATTATTATAAGGCTGTTTTAGCTTAATGCCCTTTATTCTGACATTTTAGTTGGGCTGCTGCTTTCGGAGAAAAGGCCTTTAGCTTAAGTTCTATCAGTTATTCAAAACTATTCTAGACTGTTTGACCGAGTAATTTGCCAAAGCTTGTTTATATTTGATTGATTCTGATTGCTATTATTAAACCCTGTAACATATATTTCTGTTTTGTACAAATTATTACCATTTATTCCCTCCAATATTCATTTTATATGTTACACAGAACTGACTTTGTTTTCGGAGTTTTGAAATAAAAACCGTCCGTCAAACAGATGTGACTGAAAATTTCACACAAAAAAAACAATTTTCCAGATCATTCCGCTAAAAACCCCATAATAACAGATAAACAATATCCAATTAACGTTTTTAACTCTTTCTAAACATCAGTATCTCAATTTAGCCGAAGGTAGTAGACAACACACCAATACAACCCAAGAAGAAGACAGCGCATATTTGGCACTTTTCCAGAAGTGCATATTTGTCACTTGTCCAGACAGTGGTGGTGATTCCTGGACGCTATGGCTCCTCCGCTCAAACACTCCTCACACCTCCCATCTTGTCGATAGGTAAGCGTGAAATATCAGCTTCAGAAAACCGAACTATCCCGAGTTTATCGCACATGTTTTAGAAGGAATGCTGTAGGGGGTGGATTTGAGTGGCTCTGAGGATCATGTCGGCGGTATTCGGGGTGACTGACTGGCTGGCTGAGCTGGAGGTAACGCTCAGGCCTGGTGTTGCTAGGAGACGGTGGCTCCCCCGTGCTCTGTGATAGTCTGGTGGCACCGCTCTCAAAAGAGTGGCGCATTCTCTGATCTGCTGAAATCTAGACAATAGTTGTGGGCATTTCGTTGTTTCTTGTTAGCTTTTGTCGTTGTGAGAGAACTGCCTGAAATCTAATGTCGAGGTCACTTTATGACCATTTTCATTGTTATTTCTGGTTAATGTTGTCTTCAGGGACTATTTGGCTGTACTGATACGACAACATGGCTCTTATCCGTAAATTACGGGTGTTAACTGTACGAATTTGACGTCAAACAATTGTGATAGAATAATAAACCAAGTGCAATTAGAGGATTTTCAGAGACTTCTTTCTCCCCTTAATTATAGTCTAGCACTAGTTATAGTTCATACTTCTAATCAGTGGAACTATTTAGTAGTTGGGATATAAGCAGGCTAGTGGACAGAATATGTAATAACCACAGTGTATATTATGCTGACCACGTACTAGTATACTAATAGGTTGGGTAGTCTGTAACATACCGAACATACTTATGTCATCATAATGGTGAGGTTTCTCGGAGATCATTAGAGTTACTCTCCAGGGAATCAGTGGGTTTACTACAGAGGAGAACAGAGTTTGATAGTGGTAAAGTGTACAGGGTGTTCCAAGACTCGTGTTCAAATTAGAAATTATCATCTTTCATTTTACGAAGGAGCAAATTATATGCAATCGGTTTTAGAATGCTTTTTAGGTTTTACATTTTATTTATTTCTTGCAAAATCGTTTCAAAACTAATTTTTTCACAAGTTTGCATTCTGAGTTCTTCTCTGGAACTCTGCTCTTTATTTTAGCAGGGTTTCAGTTTGAGGTTGATGCCTGAGGTAGTGATTTAAATTTTAAATTAGAGAGGAGACATGTCAAACTTAAAAGGTATAATCTTATGTTTTCCGTTATTACAACTAAATTGCCAGTAATAAGTTCCGTATCTCGAATATATAAAGATATTGTAGAGCTGTATGTACTACAGGCAGAATGAGATGCTGAATGGCAGAGTGCCAGTGTTATACAGATACAGAATGTACTGTGTATTATTATTATTGATTAATTACCCACGGATACACTTACAGAAGGGTAACTCCTCTCTTTTGGCCTACTTTTGATAAGTACATTATATCACGCCTCCTCTGGTCGTCTCGCCGTTATTACTTTTATATGTTGATTAAATTGTGTACTCAGTAGAACACGTGAAGTGTTTGCTTTTCTTTGTCGTCAGGTAGTCCGGATTCCACTACAGCAATACCCTGCAGGTACACCCTGAACAAACTGTCTGAACGCCAGTCTTCAATTCTAATCTAATCATAGGTCGTACGTTTAAATATAATTGCTGGCATTATTTACTTGTTGCATTATAACCCATAAAAACTACTCCCGGCTCATAATAGAGCGTAAGCGTAGTTATTTTACAACCCTAGTCCCGGTTAAACTGTGTTAATAATTTGACCGGCGGCTAGTTTGACGGCTCGTATGAGATGACTTTTTACAATATCCCGACGCACAGCTTGTCCTTTCTTTTTAAGTTTTCACCGACGAATCTCAGATATTTGAGATATTTGGTAGTGTCGTCAGGTCCCAGTACTGAGCTGAACAAAATGAGAACCTCTATCAAAGGAGTCAAGACCAGTGACAAATGACGTGTGCTCGAGTTAAAGAACGTTGCTTATACGTCCAGAAACAAGTTTCAATAATCGCAGGACACTTCTGATATTTACAATACCCTCTAAATCTAATATCCATCTCTCTCGTTTGAGTCGTTACCCCGCTCCATGCAGCATCGACCCGCTCACTAACTAACAGTAACAGTTAATACTGTCGGTACACTCGTCGGTACACTCGTCATAACACACTTGTAAGTACACTTGCACTTGTCAGTACACTCGTCAGTACACTCGTCAGTACACTCGTCAGTACACTCGTCAGTACACTCGTCAGTACACTCGTCAGTACACTCGTCAGTCATCTCTCGTGCATTAACAGATTAAAATCCAAAATAACGGTCACGACGTCACGTATAAAATCAAATATGGTTCACCTCCTCACGTCCACTGGGCAGATATATTGTTTGACATTATTTTATTCGTTGGACCATTATATCGTGGTTATTCTACAGAATGAGATTGGGTTGGTTCGGCCGTTAGAGAGTATCGTTTACTTGTTTGCCTTGATCTCTTAATATACATCATTGTTCATGACCAACCGAAAGTTCAGAGCTTTCGGGCATCATGATGACTCTATTGAATATTCTGAATAAATACATGCTTAATATGCCATACTCTGTTTATGGGTATATGCTTGATGAATTAGATATATTATATATTGTGAGGGTGGTTCAACCTATATATCATATATAGGTTGAACCACCCTCACAATATCACTACTTGGTTGCCGACTGTAACATGTGTGTTGGTGTGCTGTTTTATTCAGGGTATTCTGCTGTATTCAGGATATTCACGAAACATTGGAACGGCTTTAAATATTATGTTGTTTCCTTTAAATATCTATACATCATTTTATGAGGGAGCAGTCCACTATATTTTCCACTCATTTTCTTTAATCTGTTAAGATTTTGTTACAACCAGTTCAGATGTATCAATACTAATAATCCCAAAATGTGTGTCTGTCTGTCTGTCTGTGTGTGGGAAATTTCCGAACGGTTTAATCTAGAAAACGGTAAGAGTTATGGGACTGGCATGGGTTTTCCGGTATAGTTTCAAACAAACTCTGTCGAAGCCAATGTGCAAATTTTAAAAAAATCGGCCTGTGGTAAGTGGTTTAATTGATGGTTTTGTACTGCAAATGTGATATCAAAGTGACTCACTTTTTGTCCCTCTCACACTCTCTCCTTAATCACCCTCTCTTCCCATTTACAGCTCCCCTAATTACCGCTTTGTACATAATTAGGTAATTTGGCAGTGGAGCCTATTAAGTATTACTATTGGATACTTATAGTATTACGTGATGGGCCTCTCAAAATTAAATTTACTCTATAAATGGGGTCGGTTTCAACTGAGCGAGTTTATACTTTTGCACAATTTTAACTTTTGCACTGTTCATACTTTTGCAAATCAACTGCGATAGCGAAATCCCTGCCGTAGGCACGGGTTACACTAGTATTACATATTGTGAGCATGTATCTAAAATATATACTTCATCTTGGCTTACTTGGTTTATAATTTAGCCACAGTAAATTATTTGCTCATTTCTCGTGCGGAATATATACCAGATATACATTCTGTACATGTATGTAGTATGTTCTCTATGATATTATAATTTTATTTAATATTTCTTTGTATGTTACTTGTTCGTTTACAACATATAGTCTCATAATTTGTACGAAATAAGGTTTAAGTTTACCGTTAATTTTTCAGTAGATGCTTGGTCTGCCTGCTCCTAATTTTAGCTTTCAAAACGTGGCTATTACAAATAGGAAAACTTTCTGAGTAAATCAAATGTAAAATTAGAAACTGTAATTATGTCAATAAAACCATTAAAGTGAATATTCGCATAATTAAGGTGCCATTTAGTAGGGTGTGCATTGTGTAAATCTGGTGCTGGAAGAGGCAGCTGAGTTTAATACACTATAAGCACAATACACTGTGCAGTGTACATATAATACTGGGTTAAGTTCTCTTCAGTTGTGTCCCACAACGACAAGTTTTATGAAATAATGTATAAATTCGCTGAACCGAGCGCTTATCATCATCCACCACCTACACTTCTCTCTTGGCTCCTATTGGTTGATACCCCACACGTGGAGCTGTATGATCGTCTGATTGGAGGACCCCCAGCACACATGTGAACAGTAATAGTGCAGTAATTGTATATTAGAGAGACAGAGAGAGAGCGTATAACGATGTGTATAGTTGTCATGGTTACAATGGCAGTGTACTGGCTCACTACTGGGTGGGTATATGTGTAGTAGTTCAGCCTTGTACCTAATTCAGTTATTATATGTAGTATGCGTCTTTAAGTGAATATTACTGAAGTCTGAAGTCTGAACTCTTGTTGTTGTTGTTGTTGTTGTTCGAACGTGTGTTGACTTAGATTGTCATATTCGTGTCTAAGCGGGGCTAGTATTTCCTTCCTGTGTCCCATTATATGTCTCAGTCTGCTCTTAAAGATTATATTTTTATCATAAAGCTTACAGTTATAATCGTTCGTGTTATCAAATTTTACCTTGTAGCTGCATCAGTACTTTTAGCTATAATACTGTTATACAATACTAGGTTCACCCTACACCCTACACCCTACACCCTACACCCTACACCCTACACCCTACACCCTACACCCTACACCCTACACCCTACACCCTACACCCTACACCCTACACCCTACACCCTACACCCTACACCCTTCACCCTACACCCTACACCCTACACCCTACACCCTACACCCTACACCCTACACCCTACGCCCTACACCCTACACCCTACACCCTACACCCTGCACCCTACACCTTACATCCTACACCCTACACCTTACATCCTACACCCTACACCATACACCTTACACCTTACACCTTACACCCTACACCCTACACCCTACACCCTACACCCTACACCCTACACCCTACACATTACACCTTACACCTTACACCTTACACCCTACACCTTACACCTTACACCTTACACCCTACACCCTACACCCTACACTGTTTAACACTATACAGATGTCTGCTTCCATCATCAGATCAATCTCATTGATTAAATAATCTCCCAGCTCTGCTATCTTGTGTCATGTGTGTGTGGCTCCTACACATTCAGTGTGTTGGTGAGGTGTGACACGTGT